TTTTTGATGGAGCTAACCCGCATATGCGTTACATGATGAGCAAATCCATTAAACCTCCAACGGTTAGCCCTACCTCAAGGGGACTCTACCCCATGATCTATCAACCAGTGGGGATATTTCACGTCAGCACTGTGGTCGGTGCAAGCCGGATGCGAAATTCGTAGAGACTAGCCATTGCCGGGATCGAACCACGGTTCACCTCATTGGAAGGCGAACGCTCTTTCCCCTGAGCCATCGCGGCTCGCAACCTGTCTTTGTGTAAAATGAGAAATAAATCAAATCGTTCCTTGTAAAAGAATATAGAATGTGTCACTTGAGAGAATTCATATTTAATGGACTAGGCTTACTCAAAATGGAATAGAAAAAAAACGGTTGCTAATATAAACGAATGTCACGTTTCAATCAGGATCCATCGTCAGGATGACGTCGCTTGCAGGTATCCAATTAAAAAATCTAAAAGCAAAATTTTAACACCGAAAATCTTAATTTTTTGAGATAAATACTTTCTACTCAAGTCAATCAATAAAATAGTACTTCACACTTTGCTTTTTTAAGTTAAATAAATTTTCATAAACATTACCAGTAACTGAGTGTTTACTCTAAGATAAAGAAGAGATCTAAGGTGAAATGTTATTTTAGGAGCTTAAAAAAATTTATTAAAAGATTGCTTCGCTGAACTATTTTTTCTTCCTTCTTTTATTTTTTGAGATAAATGGATAATTTTTTAAAGGATGAATCAGGTAAAAACTGTTGAAAATCGAGCATTCAATTAACATTGCGTACAGTTTTATTATAAGCAGCTTCGTTTATTTAGTATTATATTTTATGGATTTGGCAACACATCCCTTTTGATTCATTCCAATTTTTGTTTTGAAAACAGTATATGACGTTCTGTTCTTTCTTTCGATTATTAAAATCCTAAATTCAATTAGTTATGACTCTGTTTCGTTGATTTTAAAAAAAATTTTACTTATTAACTCAAGATTGCCCAAGGATGTCATTTTGACAGATTTTTAATTTCAATTCGAAAAACAATGATGTTTATAATGATACAATTTCTTAGAATTTTGTGACTTTTATAATTATTTTAATTGTTGATATTTACTAATAACTTGTTATATGACTGAAAATAATATCAAAAATATTAAAAATTAATTTTAAACAAGTTTCTTTACACATTAGTTATTCCTTCACAATGCAGTCACTTTTACTGTATTTGGGCAGTCTTTCTAGACTTAAAAAAAAAAAAAAAAAAATCCAGAGTTCTCTGATGAAGGGTTTTCTTATAATTTAAGTTTCCAATGTGTTATGCATATTGGACTTTAGTTTTTTGATTGCCATTTTTTGAAGAAAAAAAAATGACAGCTTAAAAACAAAGTGTAAAGTACCATTTTAAAGATTGACGCTAGTAGAAACTATTTAACTTAGTAAATTATAAGTAAACTTTAACGGTGGAATTTTTTCTTAAAATTTTTTTTTTTAAATGTCAAGTGTGTCCCTGCATATTAGACTTTCTTTTCGCCATAGTAAATACTTTTCTTTAATATTGCTTAATTAACAACTTAAAAGTGTTAAGTACCATTTCAAAGAATGATACGTCCCAGATAGCAAAATAAGGTTTATTTTGAAAGTATCATCTTAAAGATTGACGCTAGTAGAAACTATTTAACTTACTAAATTATAAGTTAACTTTAACGGTGCAATTTTTTCTTATAATTTTTTTTTTTAAATGTCAAGTGCGTCTCTGCATATTAGACTTTCTTTTCGCCACAGTAAATACTTTTCTTTAATATTACTTAATTAACAACTGAGCTAAGTGTTAAGTACCATTTTAAAGAATGATACGTCCCAAATAGTGAAATAAGGTTTATTTTCACCCGGCAAAAACCTTTTAATGTAAACCTAAAAAAGTTTGTTATGCGGTTTACGGGTAAACCTCCTAATCTTAAAACGAGATCTGTAACAATCTACTCTATTCTACCGAGATTACTTTAATCCAAAACCTTGGAAAACAACCTTCGATATAAAAACCTTAAATCAAGGTTGATTTAGGGTTTTCAAACGTGAAAAAATCCTTGAATAAAGCTAGTCTCAAGTTAAAAACAATCTTAAATCTAGGAAATTATAAGGTTTCTTTTCGTAAAGTCTTGCATGCTCAGCTAAAATCCACCGTTTTATGAAATTTTAATGGATCGCTAGTGTGACGTCATCGCTAGTGTGACGTCAGCTTAAACGTCATTATGTATCTAAGTGACCACTTTACCGAAGTGACAATACTTTTTAAAAAAAGTTTTAAAAAAACAATTTTTAATCCTTTTAGGATGAAAGGTTTGAAACTGCAATATTTTTGCTTTATTGAAAAAAAAAAGGTTTTTAGCACAAAAATTTTTTTGACAGTAAAAAAAAAAATTCCGACACAAGGTTATATGTTTTTGGGAGTGTAGAAACTACTTATTTTAGAAAATTGAAATTTTTTCAGTGCGAATTTTTCGAATAAATTTTCAAGTGGCCATTGCTTTATTTGCATGCTCGACGTTTTCGCCATATTACACACTTTTTAAAAAATATTTATAATCAGCCTTATATTAGTTCAGGAAGTCGAAAAAAACAACAGCACTTATATTCAACTGATCATTTCGATCGTATAAAAAATTCTAATTAATTCTAAAAATTCTGCTAGGCTAGTAAACAATGATGTATTAATTACCACTATATGGTGTTCAATCATCAGTGTTTATCAATTAATGCTTATCAATTCAGTGCTCATCAATTAAACTGAAGTTACCTGAAAAAATTACTTTAATTTTTTCCTAAATTTGAATTTTTATAATTACATGTTCAGTAATCTATTCTCAATAATTTTATACAATTAGAAATACAGATTATTGTATTATTAATGTGTGTAAATATCATAATTACTAACAAATTTATCCTTACATCACCTATATTTCTTTATGCATGCATGGCATTAATTATGCTTTTATCAATTACCTTGATTTCTTAATTTTAATTATACAGTGCTAAAAACTCTGTAATATATTTCTTAAATACTGTAAAAAATCCATGTATTTTACAGCAAACTGTCAGCAACAGGTGTGAAATTTACTAAGTTGCTGTTTTAAATAATGTCATAAGTACTTCAGTACACTGATGTAAGTTCCGTAACTTGCTCACAGTGCGCAGAACAGTCACGCTCAAAATAAATTTAGAAAAAAATAAAATTGAAATCCTTATTTAATTCTTATGAGACTTATAATTAAACAATAAATTAAGGAAAAAGAAGGGAAGAAAAAAAAAACTCAAATATTTTTTTATTATTCTAGTAAAAAAAAATTGTGAGCTAATATAACTTTCTAGCTCCAGTTTTTTACATGAAACTGTAAAAAAATTTATGATAAATAATTAAAGAAAAATAATTTAATAAATTGTTGCAGATAATATTATTAAGGAAGGGTTAATTATTGTGAGTTTGTTAAATTTAAAAAAGGAAACGTACTATTTAATATTTAACATTGATTGACTTTCGTTAATATAAATTCATAAATCATAATAAATGATTATTTTTTTTTGTTGCAGAATATATACATAGGATAATATCTATATAACTGTCAAAAAATAAAGAAATAAAATTGCATAAAAAAGTAAGTATAAATAAATAAAGAAAAATAATTTAATAAATTGTTGCTTTTAAATATGTCCCTTAATGATACCACAGATAATATTATTAAGGAAGAGCTAATTAGGGAGTTTGTTAAATTTAAAAAGGAAAACTTACTATTTAATATTTAGCATTGATTGACTTTCCTTAATATAAATTCATAAATCATAATGAAAAAAAAATTTTTTTTGCAGAATATATACCTTAAAAAAATCTATATACCTGTCAAAAAATAAAGAAATAAAATTGCATAACAAATTAATGATAAATAAATATAGAAAAATAATTCAATAAATTGTTGCTCTTAAATATGTCCCTTAATGATACCACAGATAATATTATTAAGGAAGGGTTAATTATTGTGAGTTTGTTAAATTTAAAAAGGAAAACTTACTATTTAATATTTAACATTGATTGACTTTCGTTAATACAAATTCATAAATCATAATAAATTATTATTATTTTTTTTTTTGCAGAATATATACATAGGAAAAAATCTATATACCTGTCAAAAAATAAAGAAATAAAATTACATAAAAAAGTAAGTATAAATAAATAAAGAAAAATAATTTAATAAATTGTTGCTTTTAAATATGTCCCTTAATGATACCACAGATAATATTATTAAGGAAAGGCTAATTAGGGAGTTTGTTAAATTTAAAAAGGAAAACTTACTATTTAATATTTAGCATTGATTGACTTTCCTTAATATAAATTCATAAATCATAATGAAAAAAAAATTTTTTTTGCAGAATATATACCTTAAAAAAATCTATATACCTGTCAAAAAATAAAGAAATAAAATTGCATAACAAATTAATGATAAATAAATATAGAAAAATAATTCAATAAATTGTTGCTCTTAAATATGTCCCTTAATGATACCACAGATAATATTATTAAGGAAGGGTTAATTATTGTGAGTTTGTTAAATTTAAAAAGGAAAACTAACTATTTAATATTTAACATTGATTGACTTCCGTTAATATAAATTTATAAATAATAATAAAATTTTTTTTTTTTGCAGAATATATACCTAAAAAAAAGCAATATACCTGTCAAAAAATAAAGAAATAAAATTGCATTTTGTGGTAGGAAAAACTACGAAAAGCGAAAAAAGTGTCCTACTTTTTCCTTTTCTTTGCCAAAAAGAAGTTAACAAAATTTACGAAAGTAAAATCTGAAGGGAAATAAAAAAGAAAAAAATTGTATATAAATAGGAAAAAAAATTTTTTTTTTTTACATCCGCCCTTAGCAAAAAAATATCGAAACCCAAAATACAAAAATAAAATTCGCTCCTCCCCATTCGGCAAGTGGTGGAACTCCGGCAAAGCGCATCGATAGCGTTACCACGTGACTTCTGTGTTTATTGTCGGCAGTTACATCAACGGCGGCGGTTCGTGTAGTTAGGTTCCTTCTTCTATAATACTTTTCTTGCCTTTTGTTTTTAAAACATCCTATCCCTTTCTCTAACTGCTTGTAGAAGACTTGTGTGATTATGTCATAATGTGTACGTTTCATCATCGAGGGATTTCGTGTTATCACTAGCGAAAGCGACTTGGTAACACTAGTGACCTACTTTCGAGAAAGCTCGCCGTTTTAACCCACTTTTCTGCGCCTGCTCACTGCGTCTGAAAGTGAAGTTTTTTCAGGGCTGGCTTTACCTACCCTAAAACGCTACGGAAGGAAGAACGCTAAGCCTTGTCCTTGATCTCCACCGGCTATTCTGACCTGTGGTTCACAAAGTTGCGAAAATAAAGAAACGCAAAGATATTTTGTTGTGTGAAGGTTGACCGCTACGATTATTGATGTTAACGATTTCTGATGTATCTTATGGATGATCGTAATTGCTTCCGCGAGCAATAATTGCTGCCGGGTGGTGTTTTGTTATAGAAAGTGAATCGTGATCGGCCCAGGCGTGGAACGGGAAGTGATGTTAGTTGACGGTGGACCCAATGTATCGTCCGCCAGCGATATGAACAGCGACTCGACCACCACCACGGTGGCGGCCGTGACACAAGGGCAAGATGACCATTCCCTTGAAATTACAGGTCAGTAGCTCTTATTACTATTGTTCTTCATTAGTATAGTTGTTCCCTATTTCTATGCTCTTGATTTCATGTATATTGCAATATTAGCGGTATGATTTAATGAGTAATTATTCGAAACAAGATGATCATTATATTTTTACAGGTATTACGAAACAATATTGGTATGATTTAATGAGTAATTATTCGAAACAAGATGATCAATATTTTTTGAACAGGGATTATGCAACAATATCGGTATGATTTAATGAGTAATTATTCAAAACAAGATGATCAATATATTTTTGCAGGGATTATGCAACAATATCGGTATGATTTAATGAGTAATTATTCGAAACAATATGATCAATATATTTTTAACAAGGATTATGCAACAATATTGATATGATTTAATAATTATTCGAAAAAAGGTGATCAATATATATATTTACAAGGATTATGCAACAATATCGGTATGATTTAATAATTATTCGAAACAAGATGATCAATATATATATATACAGGGATTTATGCAACAATATTGGTAAGATTTAATGCGTAATTATTCGTATAAAGATGATCAATATATATATTTACAGGGATTTATGCAACAATATTGGTATGATTTAATGCGTAATTTTTTGCAAACTAAATGATCAATGAATATTAACAGTAATTATGCAACATTATCGATATGATTTAATTCGTAATTATATTAAACAAAATGATCAACGTATGGTTGATTAGGCAACATTATCGTTATAATTGATTACGATAATATTCTAAAATTAAATGATCAATATATTTTTGCAGTGATTACGCAACATCGGTAGTATGTGATACGTAATTGTTTGAAAACAAAATGGCCAGTATATATTTTCAGTGTTCATCAAATATTTCAATTTGAGTAATAACTATCTGATATATTGGGAGGTCTAATTTTATGATGTTATAGTAATGTATTGCGGTACATATTTTTCTCGCCAAATTTGGCGGTATTTAAATAATTCGTCATAATGTTATCCCAGTTTAAAAATCATCTATTATATTGATATTATGCACTTTCAATACTGAATTATTGATCATATGGTGCATCATTTCCGTGATTTCAGCCATATTTTTTTGACAAAAATCTTAAAAAGTTTTTAAAGTCGTGGTTTGGTTATTTGAAACATTCCAACTTTTTGTCCTATTCAATTGATCTTATACAACATAGTATAGTCGGTAGGGTTACGGAGATAATTGTTTGAAGATACTTTAAAAGCTTTATTACTTAGTTTTGCAAAGTAGACTATTATAAATATATGGTCCAATAAATAACTACTACTCCTACATTGTTTGATTGTTTTGATCTTTAACACTTGCCTTCATTAATGTTGGACTGAGTGAGGTAAGATTGTAGTTATGAATCGTAGTAGTACACGTTTTCTCGCCAAATTTGGCGATGTAAAATTATTCTTTGTTAAAACTTGTTTAACATTTTTAACTGTCTACGACAAGAAGAAGAAAAAAAAAAAAAAAACGCTTAAAAAAATCTCGATAACATGATAATGAATTTCATACAGGATTATTAAACAGGTCATATTATTAGGTTATGTGAACAAAAAGTCATCAATTTGCTATGCTTTATCAGATAAAAATAAATATAAGATAACATTACCAATTAACAACAAATTTTAGCTAAATAATTTAAAAACGTTAAGTCTAGAATTGTCACTCCTCTTATATGATTTAATGTATTTTAAAAAGAAAATTTCAGGAAAAAAGCCACGCTTTTATTAGATTTTAAATATGTATAAAATCTCATCTGCAATTAGCTTTATTATTTACAAATAGTTATTAACAAATAGTAGACATTCTAGTTGTAGAAAAAGAAGTTTAAATTCTAATATTTATTTATGTTATCTTTAACTTAAAACAAAAGAGAAGGATAAGTTATTATGGAAGTTAGAATCTTTTACCATTTTATGACTAAAATTCTTATCGATAATTCTGTTTAAAAAGTTATATCGTGTTATAATTTGGATTTTATACTGTTGTATAACTTGAAAGCAGCCTTCAAAATATCTATTTAAATATTATGGAAACTGAAATAATTATTGGGCTTTTATTTAAAAATTTCATTAAGTCTGTTAAAAAATTTCCTGAAGAGATAATGACTCTCAATTAAAGCGAAGCAATAAAAGTAAAAATATAATGAAATACAATGGAATATAATGTAAAATTCTTTTTCTTCTGTAAAAAACACTGGGGTTTATAACACTAATATTTATTTTAAGATAATATCAATTGCATGAGAATCGCTGATGTCCACTTTTTGAAGAGGACGAGTCTCTAAATTTCACACACACTGCTAAACATATGCGAAAAGACTTATTTTTTATTTGTGTTCATCCTTATTGAATTTAAATCTATGATTCATGAAAATCTTCTTTATTTGTCCGAAATATTGAGGAGGATATAATAACCACTGCCCACCTCCCTAAGGATGGCACCCATGTCTTACAGTAGTAGGGATGTACAACCTGTGGCCCGCTGACTGTTAATGTGCAGGCCACGGGAGCTTCTGAATGCAATTAAAATATTTATTTTAATGTGGTTTTTGTTTAAAATATTTAATTCAAATTTATATTACTTTATAAAATGTATATATTTTTTTTGCATATTCATTCTGTAAGCTTCCTTTTGGTGAAAATTTATATCACCCCCCCTGCCAATATTTATATATGATAAATTAATTATTTTGAAAAAGTTTTTAAAAAAATATCAGTTTTTTTAGTTTTAAATAATTAAAAGTATTTAATTTTCTGAAAATAAGTGACTAAGCACTGATAAAAATATTTAGTGCTTAGAACACTAATGTTTATTCAAAATATATATTTGCAGCTAACATGACTGGTGAAAGTGGCCCTTCACTCAAAAAGGTTGTGCACTCCTATCCTATAGTCAGTAACATACTTTCATGCTAGCCTAGATTCATGTCGAAGTGTGTGCACAACCTTTCTGAGTGAAGGGCCACTTGCACAGCCAGTTGACTAATGAAGGACTGCACACATATTTAATCATATTGGTGGCCAATCACTATTATCCTAGATATTTTTTATCCTAGCACTAGTGTTTTAAGAATTTAATTTTTTTATCAGCTAACTTATATTTGCGAAAAAATTAAATGCTTTCAATTATATTAGAATTCATTCAAAAATGAAAAAAACTGATCCTTTTTAAAATCATTTTTCCCTTTTTGTTAATTTATATATATTTTGTATATATATTCTATTTTGTTTCAAGAAATTTTTTGAGTGCTCCTCACACTATTGTATTGATATATTTTGCTTTGGCTATTTGCTTTGGCTATATTGATACAATATTAGAAAGCACTCTTTTTTGCAGATATAATTGTGTGAGCTGATGTCCTTTTTTTTATATCCTTTATTATATCCTTTTTTTTGGATTTTTATGTATAGATATTTTAAAATTTCATTTATATTTTTTCATATATATATATATTATTTGGAAAAAGAAATATAAAATATTAATTCTACAAAAAAAAAGAAGGAAAAAACTGTAATGTTCACAGAATGATAGTGTAAAGCAAATTACCAACCTTCATATTTTAATGAGCTGTATAAATTTTAATTTTTTAATTAAAGAAAATTTATTGAGTTAAACTAAAACCAAAAATTAAAATAAAACCATTATAGTGCTAAGTAAGATTCAATATTTATTTGGTACTATATTTCAGATTCTATTTCTTGAATTGATAGAGGCTTTATGAATTTGAAATAAAAAACGTGTTCATTTCGGTTTTTTGCGTAAAAAAAAAAAAAAAAAAAAAAAAAAATTAAGCTTCTAAAAAATTTAAAACAAAAATAAATTATAAACTGTGATCAGTTTTAAAAATTCGTGTTCTCCTTCACTTCTCGAATTTTTCAGGTTGCAATAACATTGTATAATAACTACCAAAAAAATGACGGAAAAATAACAGTGAATTATGCGCAAATAAATTGTATCAGAAAGTGATTGATTATCTGACTTAAGAAACTCTTTTGTCGCGATAACATTGAAGTTCAAGTAATGGGATCCGCCAAATCGCGGGGAAAAACATCGCAAGAATTAAAAAAAATAATAAAACACTTAAATTTACGATGAAATCAGCACAAATAAAGCGTATCAATAAGTAATTAATTTAAATGCGTGATTTGAAAGTGGCATGTCATAATAAAATTCGAAATGTTTAAAACAACGAGAGCAAAACTGCCGATCTCAAAAACTGTCGAAAAAATTATTGAAAAATAACTACGATTTGTGATAAAATCGGCAAAATAAAAAAGCACGTCAAATAGTGATAATATAAATATGCGATTTGAAACTCTCGTATCGTAATTAATGTCGTAGTTAAAAATCAAGAAGCAAAGCAATAAGTGTCTTTAAAAAACTCTTTAGATTTATGATGAAATCGGCACAAATTAAGAACGTTTTACAACTCACGAGTCTTAATAAATGATTTTAAAAACCACGTGGAAATTTGTATTTATAATTGCCCAAAAAACGATCGAAACATCACTCGGATTTGTGATATAATCGGCAAAAGTAAAACATGCCAGAAAGGGATTACTCAGATTCGAAATTCGCTTATTGAAATATTGGGATTTTTAAAGTCACTCAAAATTTCATAGCAACTGTTATAAATAACCGTAAAGAAAATGATAAAAAAATACAACGTGAATTTATAAAGGAATCTGTGGAAATTGAACGCATCAAAAAGTAATGACTCAAATGTGCATTTCAAAATTTTAAATTTTTATTTTTCTAAAAAAAAAAAAAAAAAAATTCCATTGTGTTTAGAAGCTCTAGAGGGCCGCGCAGCAATAGTCAACGGGCCGCAGGTTGTGGACCGTATACCAGAGTAAAATATTTATGTTTGTTTATTTATTACTATACATAGACATATGAATTTAGTGAAAATTTTCGCTATTTTTTTTCTATTTAAAGTAAAAATATCCATTGCGTTTAGAAGCTTTCGC